ACAGTCAATTTTTGAATTTTCATGTGTATGCAGAAAGCATCAGATGACAGAAATCCTGGCATCCTGTTTAGTTTTGTTTGGAAAATTTCAGTCATCTTGACCTCATTTCCCTTGAACTTAAATTGGTATTCTCCACCTGTGAGGAGAAATATAAGAGATAAGTGTTTTACATTTCATTTTTCTTTGTCTGCTGAGGTATATAAGGATTTTCGTAATGGATATAAATTGAAAAGTTTTAAAAGGAAGATAATTTTGCAAAAGAAGTTAGCATCAGAACATTGTAATTTGAACAACCTTATTTCCTGCTGAGCATAAAGGAAAGACAGTCCTGCTTCTTTGCTTTTCTAACATTTTTTTTAATAATAAAGTTCATTTTCTATCATAACTCCATTCATTTTGCTAAAGTGACTAAAATGATTAGAAATTTAAGAAAATACAGATTGTTAAAAATCCTACCCATTTCTTTTTTCTTTCTACAAACAGTTTTAATGGGCTGCTTTGAAACTTGGCACATAGTACATTAATCCAGTCTAACCCTTCTATCAAGCTGTCTGTGTTTCTTGAACAGATTCCCCCCAAAACTGTGTCAAAACCATAAATTACTGGATTAAACTTGTTGGAAATGATGAAAGCTGAATTCATGTACATACATGTGGTAGTACAAATGGACTCTTTTATAATTTAACTTGAATGAAAGCAATAAATTTGAAACAGGTTTAACTGATGATATTGGTAATCCACAACATATTTCATAAATTTTGTTGAATGAACATTAGGTTTTGTTGAGTAATCTCCTCAATTAAGAATGGGACAGATAATTCAAACAATCTGCAAAACAGCAAAACAATATCACTTTCAAATGTTACGCTACAGAATAGCTACTCTCACTGGTTCTTTTAATAATTAAATCAATTAAACTGCAAAGTATTTTTTAACTTTTCATTGGTGTAGCAGGCATAATGATTATTGTGTTTCTGTATTCATTGTGTCGTTTACAATGTCACTGCTATTTTCTGGACTATATCCTTCTTACTGAAACCTAGGCAGTAAAAACCAGTTATAGTTTACAGTTCTAAAGTAAGCTCTTCTAGAAATTTCATGATGCATTTTATTCCAATTTTATTTCATATTTCATGAAAACTGGCACTTCAGTTCTCCAAAATATTCATGGTCTGGTTAAATAGCTGACTAAAAGACAGCCAAGTACTATTACTGGATTACACTAGAGTTTCTCAAATATTGAGTTCATTTATACTGTATGTAGAATCTGAGTAATTCTAGCATAATCTCAATTTTAGTAAACTCAGTTACACATGTTTTTATGATTTCTCTTCAGCCTTAGCTCAGCTATAAAAAGTTAGTTCAGGTAGGCCTCGACTTACAACAGTTCACTTAATGACCATTCGAAGTTGCAACCGCACTGAAACAAATGACTTATGACCATTTTTCACACTTATGACCATTGCCGCATCCCCATGGTCACCCAATGTACATTTGGATGCTTGACAACTGACTCACAAGCAAAATCAATGGGGAAACCAGATTCACTTAACAATCCGTGTTACTAATTTAACAACTGCAGTGATTCACTTAACAAATGTGGCAAGAAAAGTCATAAAATGGGGCAAAACTCACTTAACAAATTTCTCACTTAGCAACATAAATTTTGGACCCAATTGTTGTCATATATTGAGGATTACCTGTATATTGCTGAAAAATCCTAAATCCATTTGGTAGGTGGCTGCCTATCCTTTCTATGCAACTATTATTTGCATATTTTACAGAAATGCAAATAATAGGACAGTGTCAGGCAATCAGAATTCAAGCTCTAAAGAAGAGTGGATTAAAAATTTCACTTTTGCCTCTGCTGTGTTGATAATTTCCTCTCTGACTATGGTTGCTGTTTGTAAGTTGTCTTTTATATTGTATTGTGTGCACATGCTTTAATTGCTTTTTGTGATTAGATACATAACCTGCACTTCATTGTCAGAGAATATACTAATTGTCCATTCAGCACAAGTCAGCTTAATAGATGTGATACTTAATCAGGAAGTTATCCCTCAAGGAATTCCAATGTCAGATAACTGAGAAAGTTCAATGTTTTCAAAACTGCTCACATTTACTACAGTTTGAACATTAGAATAAGTTAAAGCAGTTGGGATGAGTAATTAGGAATGTAAAGAGGTAGTTGAAGATGCCATGGGGTAAATTTATTATACTGCCGTTCTGTTTCCTCAGTGTACAAACATGCAAGATATGTGTTAGAAGTACATTGCTATGTAAAAAATAGCAGTCTTATTCTGGCATTATGCATTTACATGTTAACATTGTGAGAAAATGAAGTGACATGTTGTAATATTTGATATTTTTATCATAAAGCTATTATAAGCTACTATTTAAATATATCTATTAATACGGTTAAATTATTTTTCTTAAACTTTTATACTAAGAAGCAGTTGAAATAGCTGTAGAATTTGTATTTTAAAATTTTAAAAAACTGTTGTTTTGATTATAAATTCATCCCGTATAGTAAATAGACAACACAGAAATGTAGATGAAATAAAATTTAAACCTGACTCTTTCTCTTTTGCTAAAACTCAGAATACTCTCTTTGACGATAGTTTTATTTTATTTTTTTGCTATAATTTAAAATAACACAAAGAACAAAATCTAAAAAGAATTATTAAGTTCAGAAGTTCTAGCTACCCAGGAAAATGATTATTTTTAATATTCTGTGGAGTTTCTTGCTGTATTAAAAAAAAAATCCAGCATATATTATTTCAAAAAAAGAGCCAAGAATCTTGTGAGTTATTTATTTTTTATGGGATAAAAGCTTCAACAGATGACACTCTCATCAGCTGATGTATGCAAATGTATAGAAAAGCAAGAATGCATCTTATATTTTAGAGTAGAAAAGTCAAAGGAATAATTAGTGGAACCTGAAATATAAAAAATTAAAATGGAGGTAACTGATATCCACATTCCATGAAACTGCTTCATAATTTTAAGCATCTTATCACTGTGTCTCTCAGAACCTGGGCCATAACATCTGACTATGATCCCCAAGGAACTATTAATTTAAATAGCAGGGAAACGGTTGAAATCTCAGAAAATGTTTTTAACCTGAGTTGTGGAACTCCAGATATGAAATTTGTGAAATTTCATGAGTTATATCTCTCTGGCATATTTTCTGCCTACTTTAAAAAAAAAACAGATTTATCTATCTATCTATCTATCTATCTATCTATCTATCTATCTAATTATTTATCTTTTTAAAGTTTGCACCATTGGCAAGCTCCCTGGCTCTTTGCCAGCCCAGCTTTATTTTTCACAATTAAAGTGTTATTCGCTGTTTATAGTTGTTTTGAGTTCATTTGATTATATGCTATATACATTTATATCCATTTGTTCTGATCTTAACATCAATTGTTTTGGTAGATGTATGATCAAATTATGACATTTTGAGAATCACATATTTCTCTACTTACTATATACTTTATCTTACTATACTCCCAATACTTTGACATTTATTGTGCTCCCCGGCCTGCCCCCCCCCCATGGTAAGGCCTACGTCTGAATTGATTTCACAGTTCTTGCTGTAAAGAATCCTTCCAGACAAAGCTTTCATAGCACAATCAACTTGCCTCAGTGACAAAATGATGTCAGCCCCTATTTTTCCGATCACATTATTTTTTTTTTCAAGAAAAAAAGGAAGAAAAGCCTAAACAATTACACAGTACAAATGAACAATAGTGCTAGCAGCCATTCATTCCAAAATGAACCCCCACCCCCCCAAAAAAGGTCAAGGAAAAGATATTCCATACCTTTAATTTTCCACTCTATGATATACTTTTTGAGATGAAATGATCAGACTATCACAGTGTCTGATCAATTGTTCATAGCTTTAATCGCCACATTGTCATACAGGCTATTTTAATTCTAGCGCTTTGTGTGAAATATTTTGGAGCTGCTTTTGAAAACAGATAAAAATCCCAATTTTCCATTTTTTACAGTACTTCCTTTTCTTCCTTTGTATCGTTGAGATCCATTCCCAAATTAATTCTTTAATTTTGCCTGAATGCTGTTTATATGTTTGGGAGAAAACCAGCATTAGATGACAGAGTCCGTGCACTGAAAATCAGTGTGCCATCGCATATAAGTTGTTCTGGATTGTCAGCACAGAGCACAATTTGGCACATTTTTCTTGAATTTTAGTATGCTGACTTTTTATTCCAGAAACATTCTTAGCATTAGGGGTTTTCTCAGTAACAATTCTAGTAACATTTTTAATTACCAAGTCGTACTTATTGTCCTTCCCCCATACTGTTTTTGGAATAGAGGGAGCCACTGCAGTACGGCAGAGGCCACGAACCTGCCTGATGAAGCACGGATGAATATAAAGTATTCCCCTGAGCTTAAAGCCATTATTAATGTGCATCTCCAATAGGCATTTTTAAAATTCATTGAAAGGTTAAAGGACAGACTTTCAACCGTTGTTTTGCATTTTGTTTGGGGAGATTAGTTTTGTACATTTCCACAAAGGAAGTGTGAAAAGATATCAGCAAATTGCTTTCCATTAATTACATCTGCTGCATACAAGGGAATTCACAAAAAGGAAAGGAAAGAAAGAAAAAAAAATCCTTAGTTGGACATCACCATTTAAACTCCGTTTTACCAGCCTGACCAGGCAGAATGGGATGGCTTTTTTACAAAACTCCATTACAATTTGTAGAACATCAAATCTACATTAAGCAAAAGAAAAGAACCTTAAAATAAGTCAAGTGGCAATTTCTTTGTCTACTACTAAGAACAGGAAATACAATTTTTAAAAACTGACTCACTATTGAGTGGCTAAAATTGATGGAAGAAATGGAGGCTCTTGACAATCTAATTTAAGCATAAATATCTGAATTTATTATTATAATTATCTTAAATGTAATATCTAAAAAGTATTCACTAAATGAATGACACTTTTTTTTTTCCTTTCTTTTTTTTCCCAGGAAACAGCAAGCCTTCAAATTTCTGCAGCAGAAGAGGATACAGCAGAAATTATGACTCCCAGTTTTATTTATTAAGTCAAATTTTGAACATCAAAAACCTTCCTCATCCAGCATCTTCCCTAATTTTGCTCTCTCAGGTACCTTTCCTATTACAATAATCAGTTTTTGGAAGCAAGTTTGCATTATTTGTATAACTAATAATTACAACTTCTTTCTAATGACCAGTGTTTTAGCTTTCCATATATCTGGATATGGAGAGATCTTTAATATAATTGGAAATGGATAACTTGAAACCTGGACCTCAACCTATATAACTTCCATTTTATAGCTCATGATTCCAATGATAGCATAAAGAAAAGCATCCCCTTTGTAGAGAATTAAGCCAACTAAAATCTTACCATTAGAACAGGGGTGGGCAATTAATTTTCCCAAGGGGCTATGTGAGAAATTGCAACTGTTATGGAGAGCTGCTGCTGCCACCCACTCCCCACTGCCAACATCCTGTCCCCAATGGTGCTGCCTCATCCAGGGGTGGGTTCTACTTACCATTACTACTGGTTCGTATCATGCCCATGACACGCGTGTTCTTCTGCGCAGAAGCTTCTGCGCATGCGCAGATTGCTTCTGATGACATCTGGGTCAGTGGGCGAAGCCTCCCACCGGTTTTACTACTGGTTCTATAAAACTGGTCTGAACCAGGGGCAACCCACCACTGGCCCAATCCCTGCCACCAATGCCCCATTCCCCCACCAACCTGCTGCTGTCTGCCAGAGTGGAACAGTCCGTGGGCCCACACTCCTTTGTGAAGTACTTTTGAAAAAATGCTTCACTTCTGCACAGTCCTACTAAATTCATACTGAGAGAAAATTCGATTCATAGCATCTGACACCAGTTCTTTAGCCTTATTCAAGCCTTATTCAGTATTTTTGCTGTAATTGCTAGGAAAGTACTTACCATGGTTGTAGTATCACATTGCAATAATATGCTATACCCAGTCCCAGAGTGGAACAGTCACATAGGCATAAAATGCTCAGGTCTGCTCTAGAGGTATTGCTGATTCCTAGTATTTTAAGATACATGCTACTGATTTATCTGTTCCAGACTTTGAAAAGCAACAGTAACAGTTCAATATTCCTTAATAGCAATAGTGCTTAGATTTATATACTGCTTTATTGTGCTTTATAGCCCTCTCTAAGCGGTTTATAGAATCAGCAGATTGCCCCCAATAATCTGGGTACTCACTTTACAGACCTCAGAAGGATGGAAGGCTGAGTCAACCCTGAGCCGATGAGGACCAAACCTCTGACAGTGAGCAGAGTCAGCCTCAATACTGCATTCTAACCATTGCATCACCACGGCTCTTATATTATATGTATTATAATGTAATAATAAAAGTCGCAATAGCACTTAGACTTATATACTGCTTCATAGTGCTTCACAGCCCTCTCTAAGCTGTTTATAGAGGCAGAATATTGCCCCCAACAATATGGGTCCTCATTTTACCCACCTCGGAAGGATGGAAGGCTGAATCAACCTTGAGCTGGTGAGATTTGAACTGCCAAACTGCAGCCAGCAGTCAGCTGAAGTAGCCTGCAGTACTGCACTCTAACCACTGCACCCCCTCGGCTCTACATTATTAATGCTTACAATACATTATTAATGCTTACAATAATTGTACAATTAGCTTGTTGCAAATTCAGAATTTACCTGAATTGAAGGTAACTCTAAAATTACAATGGTCCTTGCCCTGAAGCATGATTAGATAGAAAGAATGTGAGGTAACATTTATTTCTAGAGATATCAGCAATGTAAGGAGGGAAACAGCAGTTGAAAAGAAATCACAAGACTCCCTACCTACATATATAAAATTATTTTTTAAAAAATATATTATTTGACAAGCTGTGACACAGAAGTGGCAATATAATGATTCCCACTAAAGCAAAATGGTAGTTTGATCCTTCTTGACAAGGTATTTTGCGTCATCTTGAAACTACAACCAGTAGTTCCAGTAGCTGCGAATGTGTAACATCCTCAAAGGCCTCTTTTAGCTACAATCACTGTGGGAAGAAACAGAACAAGTAAAGCAATGTAGCCACTGTGCTTTTTGTAGGAAGGAACCCACACTCCTTTGTGAAGTAGTTTTGAAAAAATGCTTCACTTCTGCACAATCCTACTAAGTTCATACTGAGAGCAAATTCCATTCATAACATCTGACATCAGTTATTTAGCCTTATTCAAGCTTTATTCAATATTCAATATTTTTGCTGTAGTTGCTAGGAAAGTACTTACCATGGTTGTAGTATCACATTACAATAATATGCTATACATGGTCTACCATATAGTTGGCAGAAGTATATGATTACTTCCCCTGAATGCACTACTTTCTCTTAAGAAAGTAATCTGCTGAAATGGAAATAACCTGATCCTACTAAGTTGTGGTTGCATATTGTTCCTGTTGTGAATGAATCCTGCTCCAATCATACAAAAGGAATAGAAGGGATAATTTCTTACCAAGGCAATACATAAGTGAGGGCATTTGAACATGCACATTTTAAGATTCTCTACATGCTATATATTCATTACATCGAAACATTTATTTGCAACCGTAGGTTATAGCACTCATAAATTTTTGTCATACATTCTCCTGGTAATAACTAACTAGTCTTTTTCTATCCTGAAGATGTCAATCTGTAGTAAAGATAAACTCAACACTATCGCTACCTATTGTAGTTTTTTTATTAATTGTATCTCAGTTATACAGAATATGCTGCTATTCAATTTACTTCATGTCTTTCATCTAACCTGATATTATCATAATCCTATGTACATATAAATCTCTGATTAAGTAGAAACCTTGAACATTTTCCTAGTCAGTTATGACAAATATAATGATAGATGTACAAGTACAATGGATAGCCAAGTTTGGAAAGTTTGCAGTGTCATAATGTGGATTCCAGATAAAAACCTTCCCTCCCTTTAATTTAGTGTCATAAATCCTTTTGAATTAAGCATTTCGATACAGGCTTTTTTGAAGGGAAATTTAAAAACAGCCTTGAACTAATAGTGCAAGTCTTAACAATAGGTTAATAATTATCAACTATTCTTAAGTCTTTTTAAGTGCTCTTGAGATAAGAACTCTACCCTTTGTTGTCCTGAATGCAGTGTACATTCAAGAACCTATTTCTTCTCAGGTATGGAAAGATAAAATTTGAAGAGTGGGAATGAGTCCAGTGCTTCTATAATCATGAAAACAAATTAATTCTTGTCAAAAGCAGTATATTGCTACTGTTAAACTATTAATAATGACACAAAGTACAGGAAATACAATATTTAATATATTTTTTCATCTTCATGCAGGCTTTAAAATTTCCTGTTCTTTGGTAATGTTAACAAAATTCAAAATCAGTTTCATAAAATGCCTTCAGTAGATTTGCAATTCTCTCAGCTGTACAATGGTGAATAGGGCCCAATAACTCTCAAATTGTTTTAATTCAAACTGATATCTATCATGTCTTAATCTATTATTTCTTTCATTTGGATTAGGCATGATTAACATCATAAATGAAATTCCTCCTTTAGCACATCACTGACATGTAACAAGGGATAACAAGCATATCCATTGCTCTTTCCTACAGTGCTTATAGTTATTGCACTTTTAATTCCGTATCAGTTTTTACAGTCATGGTTGATTTAATAATTAGGCAGAGAAAGTGATGAATTGCAAAGACCTAGAATATCCTGCATGATCTTGACAATCTGATACAAAGTGCTAAAGTCAGGGTTCCACATATTTTTACCACTGGTTTGCCCCTAACCTTCCATGCATGGGCCGGCCTTCTGTGCATGCACTTTGCTTGTGAACACCCCTTCAGCACATGCACCCACCCTGAAAACGTGGCTAAATAGGACAGCATAGCACCAGGGCCAGTGGGTAGGCCCACCTGCGATCGCTGCTACCAGTTCGCCCGAAACCGGCCCGGCTGAATACCACTAGAGTTAATAGTGTATTGCACCAATGATGTAAAGAAATATAGTTGAGAGACTCTGAAACTCCAATTTATTTACTCGCTAGGTCCTGGCTACTTTACTATGAACCTGTCCAGAGATAAGATCAGTAGCAGAGGTCCTTTAAAAATGACCTCATTTTCTGATGGTTAGTCATATAGAAAGAGAGCTTCTGTTGTATTCCCCAAGCCAAAATGAATTCCCTTAAAAGCTGTTTTGCCTTTTGGGAAAAGCTTCTTCTTTATCCAGAGGGTTTTTTTTTTATTTTTCAGCTTGAACTGGTTTATAGAGATTCAAAATGTTCATATAATATTTTATATGTTTTATATATTTATATATTTTTTTATCTGTTACGGTTGTAAGCCATTAAAATATGTCATGGCTAGACAGGTGAAAAGTGAATGAGATAATAAGAAGTAAGAAGTCAAAAGTATAATAGGAGTTTTTTTGTTTTTTGTTTAACAGAAAGCTGTTCCATGCACCAGGCCAACTAGACAGATTGTCCTGAAAGGAAGAGTGTTCAGATTAGTGATGTACTTGTAAACGTTCTGGTAGAAATGACTTAACCCAAGGATTTTGCTATCTTTGTGATGGTGTGATCTCCAATAATAAAACTAATGATTTGGGGGTTGGGGTGGGGGGGTTGAGAGTTAGGAAGAAAAAAATACATTTAGTCTTTTCAATGGTTCCGTTTCAATCTATAAAATAATAATATAATTTTGTAATTTCATGAAATAGTGCCTTTTCATTGGAAATTAATAATAAAGCTGTCTAAATCATATGTTGTGTGTATATAATAGATTATATTATAGAAGGATAACCAAACAAAGGATAATGGGAAAATGGGAAAAGGCATGCTTAATTTGTGTAATTCTACCTACTCTTATTTCTTGTTTTACATTAATTTTGAATTGATGCATGCTATTTAAAGCAGCAACTGTGAAATATCTTGACTTGGCTGTAAGTTTGTCTAGGCAGAATAGAAATATGTTTTTGATTATGCTTCCACTAAAATGTGGGATTGTTCCTCAAATTTGTTTGTGATTTACTTTCCAGGTAGACACAAATCACATTTGAGAAGCCTTGACTGAAGCATAATTAATGGATTTATATTTTTACAATATTACTATGTGTAATAGTATGTAGTATAACTAATGTAGTCTCCGTGTGTGTAGATTAGTAATATGTGTACTAATCAGAATGAAAATGTATGGAATAGAGAAGAATGAAACAGAGTAATCTCTAAATAACAATTATTTTGGAATGACAGGGATACTTTAACAAAATATTAGTGGTTATCATACTCTTTGTAGGTAAGGAAGGATAGTATTTAAGCTAGTCTCCACAAGATCACTGTGGATGATAATTCTAGGCCCCAAAGGTAGTCATGACTGGAGAAATATAATTTCATATTTTAATTAAAATAGACAAGCAGATGATGAGTTAGAAAAAAATGAAATCAAAGAGACTCCAAGATAGCATTAGATTAATCAGTAACTTCAATTGTCATCATGAAGTACTGAAACACAAATTTCTTTTCTAATAAAATTGTAAAATTTCTAGATCTGTGAACAGTTATGGCCTAGAACATTTGTTCTTAGGAACTCAAGCAACACGTAGAAGGCTAAGTAATAAATTTTCTTCTAATAATATTTCTTATCCCTTTTGCTTAAGAGAAAATGAAACATGGCAATACTCTCAGCTGCTGTTGAAAACTAAATCCCACCTTGTCACACATTTCACAATGCTAGCTTGTGAAAACCTTCAAAATTCCAGCCACAATAACAATGTTGTTGAAATATGTCTATAGACATTCCAGTTGCAGTTACTGATTGCATTGCTTCTCTGGGCTTTGCAGTCCTCCCCATCCCCTGAAGGTAAAATAACCATTAGGGAAAGGGATCCTAAAATGTCCTTGTGCTTTAAAATTGTTAGTTGCATGTGCTTGGGACTGAGTGGACCTTGATTTGAGTGTGAATAAAAGTTATAGCTTTGTTATTTCTGTGACTGATAAGGACATGTAGGGATGCATTGAAATGTCTCCTTTTTTTGGGCTGGCTCATTTAATAATTGCATTCTAGAGATCTTAGTAACAAATAATTTTGCTAACAGGTTAATGATACAGTTTGATTGCCACTCATCAAAAATGGAATTAAAACATCAGGTAAATGAGGGTTAAGCAACTTACCCCCATTTAAAATCATTGATAAAAGAGAAGAGTGTTTGTTCCATCAGAATATTTTAAATATATTACCATATTTTTCGGAGTATAAGACACACCTTTTTCCCCCCCTAAAAAGGGGTGAAAATTTAGGTGTGTCTTATACACTGAATATAGCCCCGCCCACCCACTGGCCCCCACCCTTTGGCCTCTGCCTCCCAGCAGTTACCTCCTTGCTGCAAGCAGCAAGAAGAAACAGCTTCTTTCAGCTTTAGCACAGCCTAATTAGCACAATTTGATTGGATCGGCTCCCAACTCTCAGCTGTTTTGATGGGCCTCTGCTGCTTGCTGCAAGGAGGTAAATTGCTGGAGCAGATTTTTTTTTTCTTGTGCTAATCAAGCTATGCTGAAAATGAAAATGAAAGTAAAACAGGCTGTTTGCTGCAAGAGGCAAAATTGCTGGGAGGCAGAAGCAGAGGCAGATTTCTTTTTCTTGTTTTCCTCACCAAAAAAGGTAGGTGCGTCTTATAGTTCGGTGCATCTTATAGTCTGAAAAATATGGTAATTACTATGAGGATTTTGGTTAGGATTATATACGAGTATTATATTCTAACTGAAAAACTGCTAATAAGTGGAAGAAACACTTCCAGTGTCAGCCTCCACCTTTTTTATTGCTTGCTTGCTCGGCTGCCATTGTAACGGGAGGAGGGGGGAGTTACTTGAATGTCTGGTAGAGGGGAAGTGAGCTGGTGGAGAGGAGGGGAGAAAGTTTTCCTCAGCATTTTCTATGCAGCTGGGAAAAGCGCTGATAACCACTCAAGGTCAACCATCCCAGGAGGATAGCACCATCGGAAGCTGCACCCCACATGACCACTGGTGGGGATGTGGATTGGATAATGCTGACTGGACGATTGGGGGAAGGTTTTAAGGATGCTTTCTATATGTGATTTTTGCGCCTATTGCCTCAGACCTTGCTTTTCTTTGGTTGCATTCAGTTCATACCCAGTAAAAGTACCTTTCTCTATGAAAATGGAGTCGGGGTTTTTCTTTCTTGAGTCCTGAAAGGACGCACACCTGACACTTAGTTTGCAACCACAGTGTATCAATGAGAATTAATAGCATAAAAATACTTTTATCTGAAATCAGACCTACTCATTGAAAAGAAATGAAGAGCTGTAACCCCTAAATCAGAAGAGTTAACACTTTAAAGTAACCTAAAATTAGTTCACTGAACAGGAGTAAAATTGAATACAGTAGCTATACATATCCTTTTATTTTTTTATTCTTTTTGAAATCTACTATTTAATTTGTTTTTATTATACTTTTAAAAATTCAGACTACCTATGGCTTCACAAAAATATTTTTTTAAAAAAAATCATAAAGTGTGTTTGCCAGTAAACACAATGTCGTTTTTTGCTAATACCAGGAAAATTTGTCCTAAAGCACTTGTTCCCCGCTCAAGACACGGTAGCTGCTAATGAGGAAAACACCGCAAGAACCTCATTGAAGTGTTTTTCTTTGTTTATCTTCTGGGAGTTTCTTCTGACATAGCATAAGATTCCCTAAGTATCAATGAGTCTGAAAATGTTCATATTCTGCCAAGAATCAAGTTGTAAAGTTTGTATGCCAGCACTTTAAATTAATCTAAAATAATACAAAAGGGAATTTGCCATCTTGGAAGGGTTTCTACAGCCTCATCACTATTGTCTCAATTAATAAAAGTGTTTCATATCACTGAAGCGATTTCTCTCTTTTGTAGCCAATTATGACACCAATGGATGGTGTCTCTCTAAGGATGTATATCGAAGCAGATAGGAAATCACGATGTAACAAAATCTATGATTATACTTGATTCTTTGCTGGAAGTAGTTGCCTTGAACAATATCATAGTTCCCTTCTAAAACATAATTTTCATCCAGGTGCCAAGCCTTCCCATGAGCCCTACTAATTCAACATGTAAATTAAAATGTAATAATCTGTCCAGTTATGTTAATCTAAACCATTGTCATATAGCTTCCCTGAAATTGTAGAATCAGAAGCAGAAATTGAAACATGTTCTTCTTTGCACCTATGAGCCATTTACAAGTTTAAGAAAATTTGTAGCTCTAGAGGCAGTGCTCATCTGTTTCATAGAAAAGCCCACAAGTCAATCTCTGTAACTACTAAGACCAGTTATCTGAATTTTGGGACTGCTTTGGCTTTTCAGTGGAGACAGTACTGACCTAGATGGTCCAACCTTCTGTCTTGCTATACCTTGTTTTTATGGTCCACCCTGGGATTATGATAAAGATCAACTTCATGGTTTATTTTTTTTAAAAGTCCAAGTTTGCACAACAGAAGGCAAGTAAAGCCAATTATTAATATTACAATGATTTATACAACTTGATAATTAATATGTTTTATACTGTTTCCTACATGAGCCCCCTGAAATATAAAATAATAATTAACTCCATACAAAAAGTCATCGGATAAAACAATAACAATATAAACTTTAATTAAGGAAATAATATTATTCTGTTCACTTTTTAATTTGATAGATAAATATTATAGTACCCCTGTCTTGTGCCTTTAAGCATTAATAGTCAATTCTGACACATCAGAACAAAAATCTATGAACATATACTCACACATATACTTATGTGGACAATATGTGCATACATGAAGAGAACATGAATGCATACAATATAAATAATCATTTTATTGTGTTTTTTTTTCATACCTACACAAACATTTGTTAAAATTCCCTAATAAGCTTTCTAATAAGAAGTAATATTTCAAAATCTTGGATGGAGGAGGGGGAGAAAAAACATATCACAGTACCATGAAATATGTCTTTTAAAAAATTGTTTTCCTATTCAGCCAAGCAGCTATGTTTTGTTATAAATATGTGAAATTACCAGATTGTCCTGGATTTCTTTTCTTAAAAAATAAAAATGGGGAGTCACTGCATCATTAAGCTTTGAATGAATATAATGTAACTATTGAAGCTGCTTAAAATATTTCCTAACCATAAATTATTATCCAAAAATATTTTTCAAGCAGATAAAAAGAGTTGTCAATTCTGCATAGCGAATGTCTCATAAGGGGCTCATTTATGGTTGAAAACTGAATAAAAGCAGTAAATTAAGAACAGACGTAACCATAGAGAAACTGTAATCCGCTGCAGATTTCTCTGGTGAATGAAGTATTGTTGTGTGGATTTGCTCTCCTTGCTTGTACAGTTAACCACTCACATCTGTGACTGGAGTGGACTCCATGCACACAGATGAATTTTATTCCATAACTCCTCCCTCACAGCCTCTCTGAAATAAGCACATGCTAGTTAACCAAGCCTTCAGAAACTGCCCTTTCTGTTTTGTTGGACCCTTTGCTATTGAAAGCTAAAAAAACATTC